GAGAAGAGTGTTCATCAGATTTTTAGAAAACTTCTAAATGAAAAACTGATACTTCCTGCTAGCTAACATGTGTCACCAAGGCAGCTGGCTACACTAGTTCCTCATATCTACGGGAGATACAATCCAAAGGGCTCTGTCATCATACAGACCTCACATAATAATAAGTTCTGTATATGCTGTGTTTATTGATCTCCTTACATAACCTGTGATTAAAGTGGAGTGTGTACTCATGTGCAGAAAGACATAATTAACAGTCATAAAATGGGATTATAGCAGTAGTGTGATAAGAATTACTTAAAGTTTATGGTTTCTTTTTCTGGAGTTTTCCATTAAGCAGTTTTTAGACTATACCGATCAGGTAACTCAAAGTGAAACCACAGTATTGGAGAGTTAAATAGGAAACACATTCTAATTCTATGGCATCAAAAGAAGACTTTTTCTATACTCAGATCTGAATTAATGAAGTAATCAATGTGGAGGATAATTTATTTGCCTCATTCATCCTAGCTAGGTGAGGCCATGACAAAAGGAGCTTTAGACTGGAAAGATGTGGAAACCATACCCCTGTTTTCACTCCTTTTTCCTTTAAGTATATTTGTTGTGCCAGGTGCTTGGAATAGAGTATATGTTTGCAAATCTGGAGGCTCTGAAGATTGCAGTTTTGCTACTCAGAGTTCCTTCCCCAGACCAGGCCACAAGTATTTACAGTAAGAAAAGTGACTGTTACTTTAGAAGAATCCACTTAAAGCCTTTGAGACACCTGAACAGGGGTGTGCATAAATGAAGAACACATAACACAACTCTACAGCTTGCTGAATTTAAAAATCTGAGCATGGCCAGGTAGCTGACCTCCAAATCGGAACACCCACCCTTACCAGCCATCCTCTCCTGATACTCCAGCTTTCTTCTCACTGAATTAGACAACTCCTGAGCTTATCTGCCTGGACATTTACCAATTTTCCTTGTTTATATAAACTGGTTCGTGTCAGCAATCGCAGCACTTGGGAGTCTGAAGCAGAAGTATCCTGATGAGATCAAGGACAGCTTAGGCTACAGACTGAAACCTCCTCTCAAACAATATAAACAAACAAGCAAATAACTGGGCTCCGTATGATATTTGTGTTTAGCATCTAATAACCTTTTGGAGTGGTAGTGTACCTAGCTTTGTGTTCCTTTGCCTGTCCTGCTTTGCATATTTCTTGGGGACCATAGAAAGCAAGCTTCCTTTCTTTCATATTTCTTCATAGTCTCTGAAAATAACAGTAATAATCTCAGATACTGCTTTCCTTTGGAATAATTGACTTACCCGGTTAGGAAGCTACCAACCCAAAGAAGAAGAGAAGGCATGTTCATCTTGGGTTGCTTTCTTTTGTTATTGTTGCATTTTGTTTGCTTGTTGCTTTATTTTCTCTTTACTCCTGACTTTCATTCTGGGAAAATCCCAGAGACCCTTGGGCGCAGATACACACACACACACACACACACACACACACACACACACACACATGCACGCACGCACACACACACACTCACGTGCACACGAACACACACGCACCTTGCCAGCCCTCACAGGTCTGAGCCCGTCTTTTCAGCCATGCTTTTCTGGCCCTGTGATCTGTCACAGCATTTTGGGAACTGGCTTTTGGTTATTTCCACCGCTGTTGCCATGATGGCCTGACAATAGTTCACATTCTCATAACCATGGAGAACAAGAGTATCTCTCTGCCATTTCTTCTCCCCAGCTTCTATGATAGGAAGAAAAAAATCAGTTTTGACAGAGACTGGGAAACAATACATAAAACTTGTAGAAGTCTTTCATTCTTTCATAGGATACTTTAGAGCAGTGCCGGGTTCACAGCAGAACTGGGCAGGAGACCACGAAAGTCAGTTACCTTCCATCCGGTCTCCAAACCCCCAGCAGTGTGCCCACCGGAAAAGCGCGTGCTCACCATGATGTGTGGCTCCCATTATTCTGTTATGCAGAACAGCTTTACAGAGAAAACAGCCCTCGCTCCTCCCTGAGCCTCCACCCGAAGCCGCTGATCTTTTTACTGTCTCTATCCTTTTGCCACATACGGAATGTCATGTGACCACCTCCAAGAATGCCTTTGGTAAAATGCTTTGCATGACTTTCATAAGAAGGAATGGAGGCTGGCATGCGAATCATGCTATGAGTCGCAGCACCATCACACACAATCATTTTCAAGTTCAGCTTCGTCACAAATGCGGGTTCGCCTTTGTGATAGTGTTTGTCCTCCACCAGAGTAGCCTTGAAGGCTGGCTGAGAACTTCGTGTCGCCACTGATGTATTTCCTTGTTGCCATGTCCTTTTGACCTTATTGCTGCGTTGAGATGCTCCGAGGATGGTCAGGTGTTTCAGTTTCCTTCAGTAAAAGTGTTTCTCATTATTAGTGTTTAAAATGTTTGCTGTGTGTAAGGCATTTGTCGCCCTTTACAGCTGGGAACTTGCTGTGGCTACTCTACCGCCTTAGTCACCAATTGTCTCTCCGTGAGTGTGTCACGCCTGGTTCATAAAGAAATCACCCAGCCTCACGTTTTCACAAGCTTCTCCCTCCTTTTGTTTTCTTTCGTTATGCTTTGCTAAAGGATCTCGCCTTTCTTACACAGAACAAACCGCCTGGCCCTTCAGCTGGTGGTGCGAAAGCATTTTTGCCGCCTTTGAATGCTTCCTGATAGTCTAAAAGCTACAATTAGAAGTTTCAAGAATGGCATGGTCAGGATTCTTGGAGAAGATGCAGCATCATTAGGACACAATTGTGTGCCTCTGCTTTAAATAGTGTCCAAATAGATAATTGAATTCATGGACATCTAAATTTAATTCCAGAAATCAAAGCTATGGTAATAAGAACTGGACCTGAGTTCTCCTAGGGCAAGTAATTTAATTTCTCAGCCAGTTGAACTATTATGCATCTCAGTTCTTTGTTATTATGACAGTAAATTACACAGACAGATGCACTGAGGGACGACAGACTTGTAATTCCTTCTTTTTCCCAGCTAGATGCACACCAGAATGCAGATCACTTTATACCGCTCTGCCCACAGTCAAGGCTTCTGTTTGGAGCCTTAAAAGCCGCATTTAAGTAATGATGGAAGGTGGAAAGGCACCTTGGGGAATCCAGGGATGTGTTTTCTTCACCCAACCTGATAGCCCAGGATGAACCAAATCCTGGACCATACACTTGAACACTGTTACACCAGTCATGGGGCAAAATCATGGATATTTCATGGTTTTAAGAGACTCCTGGCCTGAGTTAGCTTTTCCCGCTGCCTTTACTCTTGAACTAACACTGACATTGGAGAAGCAGAGAGAGTTGTGACCGAGTTGGTTGCACAAAGAAGGTCCAGAAACAATAAACAGATGTACAGGAAGGAGCCAAGCACCCCTGCTTGGTTCACTAGGAGAACAGCCTTGAGACTGAATGACAGAATGCACTCCAAATAAAATCTGGGCCAGCTTTAGGTTTACTTTTGAAATATGGCTTCGAGTAGTAGATGTGTGCACAGAAATGTTTCTTCAGGCAATCAAGATATCAATGATCTCACCGCACTCATATCTAAGGAGGCTTATTCCATCTGATTACCCAAGCCAGTGTCTTATCTCCCCTTTCTCATCTATTTCTTCAAGGACTTAATGAAAATTTGATAATCTGCCGTAGCCTTCTGCCTGTCAACATGTCCTGCATTAACACTTGGCTAAATTATTCTGCTTAATTATTTCCTCTTTATGTTTGGCCCAAGTGTTTCAGAATATATTGTCCTTTCATCGTATTCCACCCAGAGTTGGGAAATTGTCCCCTGGAGAAGCCAGATATATAAAAAAAAATGTGAGTTCTGCATCCTGTGCGTGTACCCAAGGGCCCCATATGCATCATTCATCATCCAACCTGTACAGAGAAACCGTGGAGTGTGGAGGAAATCACAGCACTCCCTCGGGGCTGTCTATATTCATCTTTATACTTCTTTCTGCTTTCATTTCCAGCAGAATATCTTAACGGCTCTACTGCCAGACACTGACCGAACTTTCGGCTTTCTAGAGGCATCCTAAATCATGGCTGGGACCATCCCAACCTCCAGTTCAAATGCCACCTGATACAGTCTCTGACACCGGATGCACCCTCGCCCTGCCTCTCCCCAACCCCAACACTGTCATTACACATCATCATGTGGCAGCTAACATAACCTTCCAGATTCCCATCGCTTTCCCCATCTACAGGCTTCTTCTTGCTGGCCAGGATGGGCTTCAGGGTGATAATTCCCCTGCACTCGGTTGCTGGGGGCATTTACACGGGTGTGGCCGCTCCTCCGCCCATTTGTGGACTGCTTGTCATTTGACAGAACTGTGGCGGAGAGTTTCAGTCTCAGATACCCACCTTGTGTGGGTTTTGTGATCCGATCCAGTCCATCTCTCAACTTTCCCACCAGGCAATACAGCATAGGCATCTCCCTCCCTTTATCCTCCTACAGATGTTCTCGGCCAGCCAGACGCTTGCACTGGTAGCCAGGTGCTTTCCACAAGGATTCCTCAGTAGCCATTTAAGTGGTGTCCTAGACATGTCCTCTAGCAATTCTACCTTGCTGGTTGCTGCCTATCATCACTTACAGCCGTATCATCTCTCAACGAGTGACCTGATTTTACCTTTTCCATATGTGGTTTAGTTGGGGTCATGGTCGTCCTCTTTTTGCAACTATTAAACCAAGAAGAGCTATGTCCTCCTGTGAAACATTTTGTTAGACCTCAGCTAGAGTTCCCACTTAATCTGCTTTCAACCGTGTGTGTGTGTGTGTGTGTGTGTGTGTGTGTGTGTGTGTGTGTGTGTCAATCCCATGCTCCCTCACAAGTGACCCAAGTTCCTTGATTTTACTTTCCTAAACTTCCTTCCGCTGAGTCCCGCACTGCTGTTTTTATTTGCTCCTCCAGTGAAGACAAGGTAGTAGAAGTAGCGGAGGAGGAGGAGGAGGTGGCTGACGTTGAGGAGGAAGAAGCTGATGACGATGAGGATGTGGAGGACGGGGATGAGGTGGAGGAGGAGGCCGAGGAGCCCTACGAAGAGGCGACAGAGAGGACCACCAGCATCGCCACCACCACCACCACCACCACCGAGTCCGTGGAGGAGGTAGTCCGAGGTAATTCACTATTGGATTGTCACTTTTAAATGTCCTGGGGTAAAAGAAAGCAAAGCGGGAGAAAACTGATTTCAGTCAACACTACGCCCTTTTCTTCCCCCTCCCCCTGCCTGGGCTTGGTTTTCCATTGGTGTTGGTTTGGTGTAGCAATCGGTTGAGCTATCGGTTTAAACTAGTACAAATCCCGTTTGCACAGTTTCTCCTGTGCCTTGTGTGTGTTGTTTAAGGAGCCCTAAGCCGTTTGATGAGACCCCACCCAGACCAAAGGCATGGAAACTGGCCAGTGCTATGGGTCCTGCCCTGGTGGTAGGTGTTGACTGCTCGGCGTTGCCCCGCCTCTGTGATTGGAGGAGATCTCCTTGACTGGAAAGACTAGAGTTTGGGTCATGTACTGCGCTGGGCTTGTAGACAGTTTCAATAAATTCTCTTTGTGTAGTCTTCATTAGATTTTTACTAACTTTCCACAAGATTTTACTAAGTCAAGTTTTTAAAATCAAGAGTCACTTTATTTCCTGCTGTGAAATTCAACATGGGTGATTGCATGAGTTGTTTAATTGGAAAATATGACGTCACCATCTTTAAGAAGTAGTTGTAGTTCTGATGCCTAGACTCTTCTACTGCTAATGTTCCTCCTAAGAATGCTGTAAACCAAATCACTACAAAGGCTTTTCATCAGCAGGAAAATGAAAGCAAATATCCATTTTATATTAAACAGCCAAATGTTATGCCAACTAATGTGTTTTGGCGTTGCGATGTTTAATAGATATGCACTGAGCTTCTTTCCCCCACAGCAAAAGCTGCCTCTAGAGCTAGATTTTAATGAATATGGGTTGACTTAATTTTAGTGTAATGCAAATGATATTAACTTTCATCCACAAATGCTATAACAATGTAAGATTTCCTTTCCCTTTTGGTTAAAAAGTATGATTACAACTCATTAGAGTTTACTACGGGACACGATCCAATTCATTGTTAATTATTGTTAGTTACTCCTTTCCCATGCTGCATTTTTAAGAATGGTATTGAGGTATGATTTCTATATCATAAGAGGAACTAATTTTCAATATATAACTCAGTGACTTTAAGAAATGTACTCAATTATTTAGTATCACCATGGTCTAGCCTAAGAATATCTCAGTACCCCAACCAGATACCTGCCCACTCACAGAGTTGATTCTCACAACCCCAGGTTCCCATCTGAGTTGCCTCTTTCTGAGTCTTTACTACGCCAGTGAGGGTGTTCGTGCATAGCTTTGACTGACTTGTGTCGCTGACCAGTGTTTTGGGATTCTGTGTCGTTAGCTTGGAGCTCTTGTTGATTAGTGATTCTGAGTTGAACATTCGGCCCCCACTGATGGAGCGGAAGCATTGTGTGTTGTTAGGGAAAGGAGCGTGCAGTTCCACGTCCATGATACAGCTATGTCATTCCCTACCGATACAGCTTTATCATTCCCTACTTAAGGCAGCTTCTTACTTATTTGAGCTTGTGAGAGAATGCACAAGTAGAGTCAGCCTTGATCTGAACGAACTGCTGGTCTTCTATGCCTGAGGCATCTTTTCCCAGACAATTTTTCAAATGTCTCTTGAGGCCAAAACTGGCAGATCTGGCCTAGTGAAATTTTTTAGCCCTAATTTTCTTGGCAAGGAAAGAGGTGATTTTTGGGGGGGGGGGGGTTGGGTTGGTTTTGTTTTCTTCACCTTAGGGGTTTTTTTTTCTTGGTGGCACATTGCAGTGAGTGATGATTCTGCACTGGTGAGGTATTTGGAAGTGGAGAGCGCCTGTTCGGCCCCTGCCCTTTTATCATTCTGAAAGGAGCAGGTGATGAGCCCACGTAGGCTCATGATGGTCTCGAGTGCTTAGACCCAGGAGGAAATCAAAGCCAAGCAAACACAAAGTTGCCTGCCCCGAGAAATGAGAGCACACTGACTGCTTCAGGAGGCAGGATGAGCTTCCCGGTTGCCCAGCGAAGGTTGCTAAGAGTAGGCGGCATTTAATTCACCACAGTCAGTAGAAAACAGCAAAACCAAAATGATGCTTTGGTGGAAGGAGAGGGACGTGTTTGCAAGACAGAGCTAGTTGACATTCTTCGTAAGAGAATCTGAGACAATTGGGCTGAGACCAAAAGGTGAATGTGTTCAATTCCAGGTTGGCAAGTATGGGTGCAGAGAACATGGGGTTTGTTCTATGAATCCCAGATGGGCAACGGGTGGTGAATTTAGGCTCATGTTCTAACCAGCATGGAATTTTCTTGAGATAATGTGGTGACGTTACCTCCTGGGTCATGTTGTCTGCTGGATTTGTCCCATCCCTTTCTTTTTCAGTTTCACATGTAATTTAGTAATTTTAAATGGTTTCACGTGTAATAAGTAGTTTTTGATATTCAGACAAAACTTGCAAAGACATGCACACTCTGGGGGGCATCTTTCTCTTGAAGGCCAAAGTCTATTAAGAATTTAAAAAGAAATCTCCAGATTAGATGTTTATAAGACAAAATTCAGGGCAAACACTAATTTTAAAGATAAGCAGGACCTAGGGAGTGGCGGAGCTGGAAGAATACATGCAGCACAGGCCGGGGGTCCTGAGTTCATATTCTCAGAGTCCACTTAGAAAGCCAGGTATGGTTTCATGAGCCTGCAACCCAGAACTGTGGAGAACAGAGACAGGAGGGCTGCTGGGGGATGCTGGGAGATGTTCAGTGAAAGACCCCCGTGCCAAGGAGATAAGGCAGGAAGTGTTAAAGCAGAAAATCTAACAGACTACACTGGTTATACAAACGTACACATACACCATACATGTACACACACACATGCACGCATGCTCGCACCATTCATCCTATAAATTGATTTATTTAAAATGTAAATCCATTCATCCTATGTAAGGCTTATGAAGTGGACCAAAGATATAAGTTGAAGCAAATCTTTCTTGGATAGGGGCCTAAAAGAAACACGCTGTGTAGTATATCTGCTAAGGATGCAGATGTTTTCAATGGTTTAGTGAGTGTATCCACTAAGGATGCAGATGTGTTCGATGGTAAAGATCAAAGGGAACAAACCATCCCCGTACATTCCTAGTATAGAACGTGCACACTTTGTAACTCTTCTTCCTACAAAGCCTGCTTCTGTACCCTGAAAGCAAACACTGCTTGCAATGGCAGGATTGCAATCACATTTTCAATGTTAATGTTTCAGCCCCTGGAAGGAAATAAATGTGATTTACAACCATCTCTAGGAAGAAAATCGCTTCATTATCACCAGCGTCTAGCGACTAACGTGAGTCCTTACTGTGCTTCATAAGGACTAGGTGCTTTCATCCCCTTGAGGAATGAACAGGGGAGAAAATAGAAGCTATTTGTACATGGTCATAAAACTTCCAACTCCAACTGTCTGTTCTGCGTGACTGATTTCAGAGAGAAGGGAATTCTTTGGAGGTAAGCAAGTCACTGCGGAGTTCATCTGGATCTTTGCTTTGCTAATTAGGAATGTGTTGACTGTCAATCAACGGATGAAGTTGTTGCCAGCTAAGTAAAGCAGCAGTCCATGTAGACCCTTGCCCTCGGTTTTCCAGTTCCTAAGCCCAGGATGTCAGGGTTTTCTCAACTCTGAAATGTGGGTTTTGTGGTAACTGCCATAGCCTTCCATTTCACCTACCCAATTTTGCCTGTCCAGAGAAACTATATTTTACCCAATGTTTATTTATCCCACAAATATTCTTTGTGCCTCTGCTGCCGACTGAAGTCTTTGTGCCCGCGGAAAGCACAGCAGGGCTAGCACAGACATGCTCCCGCCTGCTGGCAGACTGTGCCAGATCCAGGTTGGAGTTCTTTATTGCAGATATAAGTTTTCTGGCTCACCGTTCCCCCTGGCCTTTTAAGGCTAGAACTCTGCCTTTTAAGCCTTACAGTGATATGCATCTCCACTTTAGGTCAAGACAATTAAGTCTTAGGGAAACTTTAAAAATATGTTAGTCATATAACCGGTAAGCGATGAAGACAGGATTCAGACCTCATGAGCTAGGTAGGCTATTTCAGTTTTATTAAGCCCGAGCAAAATTTTTACTTTTTCTTTCTAAATACATACTATTCTATTTAAGTTGCACCCCTCAAAAGTGCTTGCTACATACATGGTTGCATCTTTTATTTCTGCTCAGAGCATTTCTGGAATTTTTATTTTTAAATTGAATGATAATAATGACTAGGGGTCAGCTAATAACAGATGATTAAGGGTCAGAGTACTATATTCCTGGGACCACAAATAATATGTTACCTATTTTTTAAGACTAAGGTTTTCCTGGGAAACTCTCGGCCCCATATATTTAAATATTGTCTCTGGCTCCATTTATGCTATGAAGCTGGGTAGTTCCAAAGGAGATTGTGTTGCCTGAAAAGATCTCTCTCTCTCTCTCTCTCTCTCTCTCTCTCTCTGTCTCTCTCTCTCTCTCTCTCCCTCTCCCTCTCCGTCTCTCCCTCTCTCCCTTTCTCCCTCTCTCTCTCTTCCTCCCTCCCCCTCCCTCCCTCCCTCTCTCTCTCTCTCTGTGTGTGTGTGTGTGTGTGTGTGTGTGTGTGTGTGTGTGTGTAGGTGTATATGCAGGTACATATTCATACATGTGCAGATGTCTATTGAAGTCATAGGACAACCTCAAACGTTGTTCCTCAACGTCCCAAACACCTTTTGTTTTCGTTTTGGTATTCTTTGGGCAATGTTGAGAGACTAGGCTAAATGGCCAGTAAGTCGCAGGGACCCACCTATCTCTGTATCCCTAGGGTTTGGATTGCAAACAGTACCACCTTACCTGACATTTTTTAATATGAGTACTGAAGTCAGGTCATGTTTACATAACAAGCTGCTTGAGGACTGAGCTGTCACCCTAGCTCCAAATGTAATGTTTGCAGGAGACATTCTCATTTTATGGCCATGGGCCAGATGAGGAACCCACTTTTTAACCTGCCTTATGTGAATGCTGAAGTTACCTTGCACATTTTCTGAGAATGACTTTACACTGCCTATGCTAAGACTTAATGTAATACCTAGGAAGAT